GGGGGGGAAGAAGGTGTGTGGAGGAGGGCTAAGAGTTTGAATGATGTTTCTGAGAAGTGGGGGAGTTTTGGAACTATTTGAAAGCTTTAAGAAGAAGTTGATGGAAAGACTTCTAGCTCATTGAGTTCACACTATATAAGTTTGGAAAAATCTTGGACCTGAAAAAATTGTTATTTTATTGATCCAATGCAGTATCACACACTTAGCTACACTTATTCTTTTATTTTCTTTACATTTATTTCGGTTTTTCCAATATTATAATTACTCAAAAGAATCTAACGTATATACGTTGCAACAACAACAACAACCCAATATAATCCTATTAATGGGATCTGGGGAGGGTAGTGTGTACGCAGACCTTACCCCTACCCTGAGGTAGAGAGGCTGTTTCCAAATAGACCTTCGGCATCCTTCCCTCCAAGAACTCTCCACCTTGCTCTTGGGGTGACTCGAACTCACAACCTCTTGATTGGAAGTGGAGGTTGTTTACCATCAGAGCAACCCCTCTTGTCAATGTATATACGTTGATAGGGATAAAAAAAAGTTTAACATTGTCGGTTTATTTTAATATATATTGTAAGTATAAGATAACATGTCTTATATTTCATAGTTATAAATTGGACTTTTTATGGACAGAGTTATATACACTAGTAGTGTAAATTTTATACCATTTATTTACTTTAACAATATATAGCAAGTTATTACTCTATTTTTCAAGTTACTCTGTCATATTGCTATAAAAGATTACCTGTTGTTAAGTCTGACGACCAATATCCAAAATTTAAACTGTAAATGAATTTAAGTTATATATATCAGCAGCATATAGCTCAAGGACAAAGAAGTTTGAATGTCGCAATACAAAGAAAGAGACCTTACCAATTAAATCAACACGTACCTATCGTTACTAAAAAAATAAAACACCATAAGAAAGAGATAAAAACACGTCAAATAAACTAGTGCTATTATTGTACGAGAAAAATGGTCTGATTTGAAAATCCCAATTTTGTTTAGTTATGGATCGTATTTTACATGTCAGCGTGTGTTGACTGAATATTGCCGAATTTGTTGACTTTTTATCTGCTCCGACAACCGTTTTCTCATTTCACCGACATCTTTGACTCCTTTCATTTGCATCCAAAAGAATTTTGTACATTCCCTTTCAAAATTATGTGGTCCAATTTTTATAGTTTCATGATTTTCCCTATAATTTTGAGGTAATTTATTATCCAAAATTTGAGAAATAAATCCCAGAACATGGGTCCACGAGTTGCGAGTTGAATAACTACTGCAATTAGAAGTTGTTACTTGAAGCAGGAAAAAACCCCTTTTTTGGTGTGCCTATAACCCAACAGTCACAAAAATTTCTCAATAAGGCTGTTTTAGTCTGCATTTCTGCATGAGGTTATTTTTACGGTTCGAATCCGTGATTTTCTGGTCACATGGTAGCAACTTTACCAGTTACGCCAAGACTCACCTTCTTGTGCAAGAGCACACCACTTGAGTGAATCGAGTAAGCTGAAAATATATTTTTGGACAAATGAACATACCTTTCCAAAGAAGTAACAACAACAACTATACACAAACTCAATTTAGTCCCACAAATGGAGTTTGAGAAGGATTGATGGTATGCAGAACTTACTCTTGCAATGAATGTGCTGTATTTCTAATGAAGAAACTTGATCCAATTATTTGTAAATGAAATGTGTATGCAAAATGATGATAATCCAAAAGCATTTTCCCTGCTCTCTTTTGTTCTCTATTCAATTATTTGTTTTATTTGATTGATCACTTATGTAAGTGGGAATAGTACAATTTCAAATGATCATTTTCTCAGGCTTAAGGTGACACTGTGTTTCAATTGACTTTCCTATATACCCTTAAATTTGAGATTGTTGGAGTCATAACGAGTACGTTCCTTGAAAGTCTTGCTAGAAAATGGAAGAAACATGGTGGATTAGACAGCATTGTTAAATCTCATGATTCCATTCTTAATTTTCAATGGTCTAGCATTAATGTTTTCTTTTGTTTTTGTTTCTTAATATGTAGTTGAATATAAACCACGGGAATGCATAAATTAAGCAACCAACTAAAGCGGACAAAAACTACATGACAATCAATAGCGTGACGCCTATAACGGAGGGTGGCCAACGAGGGGTTTGTTGAAGCCCAAGTTCTTGGTACAAAGGCTCAAACACATGACTCAGCCCAATATATCAAGACTAACTCACCTTGAAGACTTAGAAAGAAGCACTATTTATTCTTGCAAATATAATCATTTTGTAGAAGATAGCCTTCATTTTGTATTATGATTAAATAGTAGTCTCTAACAATTTATTTGGCTAGAAGACTCATTTTCATCGTTTTTCCTTCCAGTTGAATAAAAGCTTCTGTCTTCTCTTTCATGGAGTTTTATTCCATACATTTCTCAAATTACTTTGACCTTGAATTGCAACATGGTATCAGAGTCAGGCCCATCCCAATTTATTGTTACCGATGTTGGGCCCCCACTTATATTGTCCACGCTCCAGTTACCGGCCTGGGCGTGAAGGGAGGTGTTGAGTTGTGTCCCACATCGGTGGGTTATGGGTATCTTGGTCTCTTTATATGGTCTTGGACAATCCTCACCTCACAAGCTACCTTTTGGGGTTGAGTTAGGCCCAAGGTGCATTCTTATCATGGTATCAGAGCCCGATTTTGGGTAGATCGGAGCTCCAATTTCAGTCTGGTACTAACCTTCACGGTCCATTTTTGGGTTTTTTCTTTTCGGCGGTGATTTCGATGTTCTTCAAAATTGACGCCATTGAAGGTGTTTTCTGCTTGTGATTCTTCGATTCAATGAAGAAAGTTGGTATTTCATTCAAATTCATTTTGTTTGGTTGGTTTAATTCTGGTTTTTTGTGAAGTTCTATCTCCTCCTTCGATTCGAAACCCTAGTTTTTTTTAGAACTGTATCATGGCACCACCGGAGACTACATCTACTTCTACTACTACTTCTACTCCTGCTATGGTTTCGGGCTCGACCTCTATTGAACCCTCACATCCGTTGTACCTCTATCCCACCGACAATTCTGGGACAATTATTGTGGCTGATAGATTTAACGGGATGGGATATGGCAGCTGGAGAAGAGGAATGTTGATTGGTTTGTCCTGCAAAAATAATCTAGGGATAATCAATGGGACTATCATCAAACCTAGTTCAACTTCGCCATTGTTTGAAGCTTGGTGTCGTTGTAACAATATGGTAATTGCTTGGATTCTGAATAGTTTGGAAGCTGAGATCAGGGAGAGTGTTATGTATACAGAATCGGCCTCCAAGTTGTGGACCTATATAGAGAAGAGATATGGGCAGCCCAATGGATCTAAAGTTTATCAGATACGCAAGGCCCTGTCTTCAATTTCTCAAGGAAATTCTAACATTGCTAGTTATTTTTCTAGGATTAAGAAGCTATGGGATGAATTAGCATATTCGATCACTTATCCTGATTGTGTGTGTGGATGCAAGGAGGCTTTTCAAAAAATAGAGGAGGATCAAAAATTTCATCAGTTTCTAATGGGCCTTAACGACACATTTACCACGATTAGGAGAAATATTCTGGCAATCAAACCTTTGCCCGACAGTGACACTGCATATTCCATGCTGTTAAATTATGAGAGTCAGTGTGAGGCTCAATCCGCACCTCCTTCCTTCTCCTTTGAATCTGCCTTATTCTTCACTGGAGTTCAGAAGCCTTAGTTGGTCCCTATACTGCTGGTGTGCATAAGTCATATCCTCAGAAAGTCAATTTCAACTCCAAGAGAGCTACTGTGGTGTGCAAATACAGTAAGAAACCGGGACATAGTATCGAAAAATGTTACAAACTACATGGTTACCCTGGTGCTCCCCAACCTAGCAAATTTAGAAAACCTGTTGCCTATGCTCATGTTTCAGAATCTTATAGTGCGGGTCATGATCTTGGACAACCAGATACTTTTTCATCTGATAATCGTTTTGAACAATCTGATTCCAAAAGCCATGGTTTCACAAAGGAACAGTACGAACATTTGTTGAGCTTGTTCCACCAGTCTAAGGTCTCTCCGGACACCACTATTCCTGTATCTGCCAACTTTGCAGGTTTGCTTCCTTATGTTGATACCAGAACTTGTCGTGTTTTTGCCTACAATCTTTCTAGAGTAGTTGGTAATCCTTGGATAATAGATTCAGGAGCGACTAATCATATGACTCCCCAGAAATCTCTTCTAATTGATATAAAACCTCTTGTTGTTCCTTACTTAGTCATACTTCCCAATGGTTATAGAGTTAAAGTAACATGTTCAGGTTCTCTTCGTTTGACAACTAACCTACTCTTGCAAAATGTTTTGCTTGTACCTTCCTTTGTAGTACAATTTGATATCATTGCATCAACTTTTGTTGCAACTAAGTTGTAAAGCTCTTTTTTCTGCTTATGATTGTATCTTACAA